GTCACAAGCACAGTGCTGGATTACCAAGTGGTTGCATTCCTATTTTTCTGATAGGAAGCAGTACACTGTTTACAATGGGAAGTCCTCCACTATTTCACTTTCTCTAGATGGTGTTCCTCAGGGAGTTGTTCTTTCTCTTTTTCTGTTTTCTTTCTTCTTACTTGACTTAAGGTTAAGCTGAAAGATTATGTGATTAAATGAAAGAGAGCACAAAGACATCCAGTTATGAGGCCATGGAAAGACTGGTAGTTGGTTCTTTCTGAATGCATAAATTAGGTTTCAGGCGTCTGATAATGATTGCTTTGGCGAACTTGAAGAGAACTCAAACGTTTTTGTCCACTGGTAATTTTAAAAAAAGGGCGTTGTGATGTCTATCTTATGACCCGTATCGATGAGATGTTCAGCGATGGCACTATTGTTTGTTCCCTTGAGATGTACACTTTTTGGTACATGGTCAAAACATCAGACGTTGGCTCTTCTTCTTTCTGTTCTCCCAAAGTAACTGCTTCCGCAGACACATATAGATTTGTATCCACAGTTATAGTCAACATGAGAAGGAAGGCTATCTGTCGACTTTCATTTGCTGAGCAAAACCCTAGCTAACTGAACTTAAAACAAGCAGTTAGGTTTGGTTAACATTAATCAGTATCATAAAAACAGACACTGATATAATTCACGTAGAATTCCAGAAATATAGTTACACTGGGAGTACGATTAGACAGCTTCATGATCGAATTTCTGAAAACTACCTATCTTGGTTAAGCACAGCAATGAATAAAGCTTTTTTAAAAATTGTTATTTGGTTTTATTCCTTCGCGTTCCGAGTGGAACACAGGGCTTCAAGTATGAGCTTTGAAGTTCCAGTTGCAGTGATATTCTCTTTTTCATGGGATGAGGTTACTAGCCTAGCGCCAGCCCATTCCTCTTTATCCGGATTAATACCGACTAAGCGAGGTTTGCTAGAGCGTTGGCCGGGATTAGTACCTCGTACTACTTGAGACGTGGTTAGGGAGTATTCTACTGCCGCTAAACTACCGGCGCAGCTGAATTTCAGTTCATCTCTTCGAAATAAGACATCAAGTTAACATTAACAATGCTATCAAAGTTACTTATTGTAATGCATCTAATGCTTTACAAGTACGACATTTACATATAGCGGAGGTAAATGGAGTTCATCTGTATGTCTGAGAAACACTCATGCAGGCATTTGCTTAACCTTAGGCGTTTACATAATTGCTTTCTCCTGCTCTCCGAACTATCAATTGACTTTTTTTATTTATTTTGATTATTTCCACCAATTCAGAAGAACTTATTTGTATCTTGATATTCTTACGTAATTCATTTATCTATCCTCCTTAACTGTCATTATTATACAAATTACTGATTACGTAATAAGTTGGTGTTAATCCCTACGAATTAACGGCAAATTTAAACTTTAAGCACCACTAACTACCACCAATCAACGAATGACCTTGAATGCACCAATCACGTGAAGGAGGCATTTTTGTGTATGGAATACGTATATATTTATGAAAAAAATGCATAAAAACCGTAGAAAAGTGTTACAGAGGATACCTTCCTCTCACATACGATAAAAAGATAGCTCTCAGTTTTAGGTCGGTGTATCAACAGAGAGTAAAAAAAATCTATTTTGATAAAGTCTCATAATGTAATACAGTAATATTTACGCGGCATTAAATTGTGCTCGAAACTTCATCTGTAAATATTACTGTATAAAACCGTGAGACTTTATCAAAATAAATTTTACCCATAGTGGAATTATACTCTGTCACCACAGTGCACAAGTTCTATTCTTATATCAACAAAGTAATTTGATCACATTCTATGCATGTAATCAAATAGGTCTTCTAACCCTAACAGTAACCCGAATCTAACCCTAACGGGAAAAAATCTCCAGACTAACTGAAATCTAACTGGAACCAACCCTAATGTTGCCTTTATAATGTTAACTTAACCCTAACTTGCCCTTGGCCTAAACCGTAACTTAATCTTTCCCAAGCCTAAGCTGTAACTTGCCATTTAATAGCATAACACTTCGCTGAGGATATTTTCTTGATGATGACAACATTATTTACCAGGTTTCACTAACTTGCTCAGTGAGCGTTTCAAGGTCATTGGTGCGGTGGCACTCCACTGGTATTTAGTGGCACTTAAAGTTAAGCTTGGCCGAATTAACTTATCTTGAATTCCGTAATCATTTTCATCCCTCATATACCTAAATAAAAAAACAGTCATATTTCTTTCTAATTTGCTCACGGAATGGTTTCGGCTAAAGAATCAATGGAAACCAGAGAGTGCTGGACGGCGTTGTTTACTCCTAGTTTGTGACACCTCAGCACGATCCACCCACCGGGGTCTAAAACCAGCACTTTCTGGTTACAAAGCAATCTTTCCTTATACCTACCATTCAACCACTAGGACCCAACTTAATTGCCAGCGCATGAATAGAAAATGAAAACAGAGTGAAGAGCATCATTCTAAGGGAATCAGAGTTATTTAACTAACTCTCCTAGTATTGTAAATTATTTAAAGTAATCCCAGCGTGTTTAAGAAAAAATCAAAACAAGATTTTCCTGAATGTGTCACTGTGTAAGCTGCCACAGCTTCTTCAGCAGAATTATTCGGATTTTATTAGTCATTAATATACATAGTCAATATATATCCAGTTTAGTTTTCAATAGCTCCCAAAACAAACTCGCCTGCGAGATTTCATGGAAGGCCGAAAATCCACAAAATAGGTGTTCCTTTAATACCAGTAGTTGATTTCGCCAATTCAGTAACATACACTTTATCAAAACACATATCACGAATACTGAAACCGCTTCAATACAATATTCCCTCGAACAGTATATATAAAAATATTGAGGAGTTTGAAAGAAAAGTAATGGACATAACTATTGAAGGAGACTAAATTGTGGCAAGTTTTGATGGGTTTTCTCTATTTACTAGTATTCCTATATGTAACTCACTTGATAGTATAAAATACGAACTCGAAAACAAGAAAATGGTAGCTAAATATTCATTATCAATAGAAGACGTTATAAGATGCTTAAAATTTGGTTTAGGTTCTACCTATTTTACCTTTAAAGACATACTGTACTTTCAAACAAATGGAGTTGCAATAGGATCACCAGTATCTCCAATTGTAGCAAACCTGTATATGAAAGCTCTAGAAAGAAAAGCATTAGCGAGTTTTAGTTGTCATCCTAGAATATGGTACAGATATGTAGATGACACATTTATCATCATTAAGAAAGATGAAAAAGAAAACTTTCTAACAGAGATTAACTTCATCTCAGAATACATAGAGTTTACTAATGAAGCGGAATCGGATGAGGGGACTCTAAACTTTCTTGATTGTCTTGTAAAAAGACAAACTGACGAGAAACTAAAGTTCACAATATACAGGAAACGGACACATTCCGACAAGTATTTGAATTTCCAGTTGGATCAACTAATAGGGATGGAAGTTTCAGTAGCTTTAAATCTCGTTAAGAGAGCTAGAAACATTATAACAGATAATGATGATATGGAGAAGGAGATATCCAATATAATACAAATTCTGATTGGAATTGGTTATCCGAGAAAGCTACTAAATAATATTATCAATAAAAAGGAGCACAAAGGAAAACAAAAAATTGAAAAATCTTGGCTATCCACGAAGGAGACGGCTGAACAACTTCAAAGACTATTTGCTTCATATAATATTAATGTCTATTTCAAGCCCTGTAATTCTCTAAAGATATGGTTCCAAAAATGTCACAAAGTAATTGTATCTATAGGATAAAGTGTTCAGAATGTGAAACTTTCTTGCTATATAGGGGAGAGCAGTAGACAGGTGAAAGTCAGAGTGAATGAACATAGACTGTGCACGAAACGTCCAGCTGGAAATGAAGTAGAATTAAAAATTCTGGAGAAAAGATCGGCTGTAGCAATGCATGCGATAGACAATGGACATAAGATTGATTTCGACAATGTCGCCTTGCCCATTTTAACCACATCGAATGCAGTAAATAGTGCGAGAGAAGGGACAGACTTATTACCACCTATATGGCAAACTCTAATGAAGCAAGACATATGAGAAAACAACAAAAACCTCTATGAAACTCCATGACATTTAAAAATGTATTGTCATGTTTATCATATATGAACTGACGTCTTTTCCATATGACAAGTAACGTACACTCACACACACTTATACAGACAAATATGCACATATGACAGTTTGACATTAGTCATTACAAATATATGATGAATGCTTACATCTTTTATATTGGTACAATTGTCTATCGACAAGTGACCGTCAAATAAACTGACTTCAATTAATTTAAAACATTTTTTGACTATGTATTTTGATGATTAATAAAATCCTAATAATTCTTCTGAAGAAGCTGGGGCTTATACAGCTAAACGTTCAGGAAACCTTGTTTTGATTTTGTTCTTAAACACGCTGGGATTGTTTTAAATAATTTATAATGATTCAATCTGACTCGGCGCTCAAATTATTTCAGGGAGTTCGTATCCTATAACTCTCCTAGTCTTTCAAAAAAGCTGTAGCAGTTGAAAAAGGTCCATCATTAGCTGATCAGCCCCAAATGATCCAGAAAAACTGAAATCCACCAATCAGATAATTAGTAATTTGACTATACTAGATTAAGAGACTGACGCTCATGCACCTGTCCTCCTCTGATTGGTTATTTTTCAGTGTGCTGATATTAGTATCGATCGGTAGCAATATACTATTCATAAATCAGAGAAAACGCTTACAAATACACAAATAAGTATGGTATAAATACTAGAACACTGAGTATATTAATGTGGAATAATAATAATAATAGCAATAACAACTGAGGCAACTAATTCTCACATTACATTATACTAATAACAGATAGTTTCATTTTCAGTTAGTTAAACAAAATCAAAACTGAAAAGAAATACACAAAATGTAAAGACTACATTTAAAAGAAAAAAAAATTTGACTTCAGTTTAATCCTTCTTTTATTCTTAAATTCAGTAGAGAAATAAATAAGAAAATGGTACTTTTCATAACTCCACTGTTTGAAATAAGCATCGGACTCTTTTCTTTAAATATTCGTTTAATTTTAGCGATATACAGTTTGTTTTAATTGATCTATTGAAAATTGAACATTTGTACACGCATTAAACATTGAACAATATTTAAACTGTAGTGATTATTATGATTCAGTTTTGATTTTAAAAATATTAAGGCTTTATTGGTGAATATTTTTCGTTGTTGGATAGTTTTTTTTTGTATATTAATTCATAGATTGTGAATTCAATAATTCATTGAACATTTCCAAATATTTTTTTCTTGTTTAATCTAACCATTTACGGCATAAATGAAGCTACTAGATTTGGCGCTGAACACAGAATAGCAAATGTTGCCACAATATTGAATACACTGAATATAACTAAACAAAATCTGTCAATAACACGTGCAGCGAATTTCCATTCTAAGCTAACCAATGATTCTTGTTCATCATCGCGTAATTTTTTAGTGATAAAACGTAACTCTGTAATAATAAACTCTAGATCAGCTTTATAAATCGTTTCAAATTGACTTTGACCACTTGCTGATTGATTCGCCCCTGGAGAATTATTCTGTATAGGTATATTATTATTTGTAGATATATCACTGAATTCATCTGAAAATGGATCTCGTAGAGGTTCTAGAAAAGAGAAGAGAAGAATGAAAGTTGTGTATTATTATGTGTCAAGTTTGATTAAAGATTGACATTTATTAGGGATGCAATGAAAATCGCTGTGAGACTTCTCAAAAGTACGTACTCATGACCCCACAGGGAATGGAGCTAGGGACCTTTAGGTCAAGAGGCGAGCCTGTTGACCATTCTGCCACTGCGGGGGGGGGTTGAATCCGATGACATATGAGTACTAACCTTCGCTGATTTGCTAAATACAGCCCAACCACCAACCAATGTCATCGGCGGGTATTTGTTCTTACACCAAACTTGATGAACCCCTCTGGTCAGTGGTATCTACTGTTGAGGAGTAATAAACTAGGATGAAAGAGCGCTGTTCAGTAATCTCTGGTTTTCTAAAATTCTCTAACTGATGTCAATTCGTGATCACAACTGAAATCAATGAAATCCCTGCAAACGAACACTTTGACACTATAAGCCCACTGGTAATTTATACATTCTGTTATTTCGTTGATGTTGGTATGCATTGGAATCCAGATTTCGCACTTCGTCCAACTCGAGACTCATCATCGGATTTAAACTTGTTTCCAGTAAGTAGCAGTGTTCACACTGACGTTCAGAGCCAACTCTGATTGTTGGAAACGACAGACGTTATTAATTAGAGACCTCCAGAGCCAACTCTTATAAGACGGCACTGACTATCATTCGTTTAGGTTAATATGTATTCGCCGTTGTTTGATTAATTCTTGACCTAAATGCTTAGTCTGTTTTAACATGCCTGCTCCTCATGCGGATGCTTAGACAAAATTTGAAGGCTATCATGATGTTATTTGGTTGATAGATGTGCTTTCATGAACACTGAATGTCATTCAGACATCTTAACTTATGTTTAAATTGATTAATTTGAAAATACAAAACGGAGAAATCAATATCTTACGTTAGTTTTGAAAATCATACTAGAATGCTAGCGAGAATACTACTACCTTGTAGAGACTGGAACGCCAAGACAAATGCTGACTGATAAAATTCATTAAGCACTAACAATAAACATCCTTCTGACTGCATACAGTAGAGATAAGGATATCAAAGATAGGCAGGATCGAAAAAGCAAGTCAGGCCTTCATTAATCTGAAATCGGTGCAGAAACGTACTCTACTGAACAAATGGAACAAGATTCGGGTCTTAAACACTAGTATCAACTCAGCCATGGCTTCTGTACAGTCCAGATACTTGGCCTGTGTGTCAGTCAAATCATATGCAACAGATTGAAGACTTTCACCAACAGTTGTCACCTGTTTTCTAGATGCTGAGGATCAAATGGTTGTCTGGCGAAGATAAGCAATAAGAAACACTGGGAGCGAACTAACTGACAGCCTACCACTCAACACTGGGCATAAACTGCTGAGACCTTTGAGTGACATCACATGCCAGGCAGACCATCGAATAGAACCTAAAGGAGAAATGATAAGTTGGATATGGATTGGAGGAGGAAATGAAGGCCTACAGGTTATCATGGAGTCAGCTGAAGGCGACTGAAAAGAACGAGATGGAATGTCAATACACTGTTGAAGCCCAGTGTTTCACTCGGAACTCATTGGAGTAATAATAATAATAATGACAGAATAAACTGACGCTAAGGATATGATATGTATGACATTTGCTTACTATACCCTTGTAACAGATCATAGAAGAGTTCAATCATCAGCTCGAATAGCTTAATGGTAAATTCTTTACCTATATTTGTAGTAGGTGAAGCGGGTCCAAAATCTTCAGTGGAACATGAAATCTTTCGAAGTTTCAGAAATGCCTTGCTGACGAGTATCCGTTTTTAGTTATTCTATTCCTTTACGTTCCCTGTGGAACACGGGGCTTCAAGCTAGAGCTCTTTTGAAGTTTCGGTAGCAGTGGTGTTTATTTTTACGGGATACGACTGCTAGCCTCATGACTAACCACCCCTCTTTACCAGTCTAATTACTGGCTTATTGAGATAAAGGAGTGCGTCCAGTGACCGGCAAGCATTCAACTGCTGTGTCACCGACGCTGAAGAGTATCAGCAAGTACGAAACTTAGGTCTAGATTCTCTTGTACATAGTGGCAAAGCATTATAAACCTATTGACAAGAATTTCTCAAATAAACATACTGTATACCAATTTTTTTTACCTGAATTTAAATTTGTTCCAGCAGCATTGTAAAGTCGATAAGGTGGAGGTGGTTGATTCGATGATGCCATTGTAGGAGATAATTCGGTTGAATTTTTTGATTTTAGATTATTACCAGCAGTTTGTTTTTCAGTTAAATTTATCGGTACACTATATGGTGCTGTAGCACGAAAATCATCATCCAAGTTTAATACATTCGCCATTAAACTTTTTGACACACGTTCTTGTGGTCCATTTTGTAAACTGTCAATACCGCCAGCACCACCAGCCTCCAGCAGCAGTGTACTCTTTACATTTCCATTCATTCGTATCTGGCTTGAATTCGGGGGAATGATTGGCTTAGGGATTTTACCACCTTCAGGATTCCAATTAGAATAGGTTTGTTCCACGCCTATGTATTGTTCGCATTGAGGTTTTTTATTCAACAGATTTTCTATCGATGAATCTCCACCGCTATCTGATGAAGAGATGTCTTCTACTTCAATGATTTGTGATCTCTTCGGTGGTTCCATACACATCAACCTAGCTAGATATGTATTGACAATATTTCTGATCTGAAAGTTGAATTTGTTAAAAAAAAAGAGGAGGGGGGATCAGAAGTAAACATTTGATTTTAAATGATAATAATGGCAACAGCCAGCAGGGAGTACTGGAGAGTGCCATTTCGTCCTAGTTTGAGACTCTTCATCGGTATGCATCCATCACGATTTGAACCTAGGACCTTTAGGTCACCAGACAAGCTCACAGACCATTCAGCTACTAGAACCCGATCCTTTGGCCGGTTAATGAATTCCTAATTCGATCATTTCGCGATTTTAGCGCGGCTGGCACAGTGGTTAGGACTCTCGCCGACCATGCACATGGTCCGGGGTTCGATCCCCTGCCGGCGCACACCTGATATCTATGGTCGGCCTGAATTTGGGCTACCGATATCCATGCTGAAAATTCCATACTTGTACTGAAAATACGGTGTGGAATCAAGCTGTAAATCAAAATCAAAATAAATAAAAATAAATAGGACGAAAGTGCACCCTGGTGAATTTCCACTGTTAGTCACCATTTATTTAAATACTTACTGCGATTTTGTAAATTTGGGTTAATTCTAACATTAATGAGGCGAGACATGAGTAGAAAGAATACTGTTTTGTTTTTTATATTTATTGGGAAATACAAAAACTTCTATAATAATGAATATTTTATACACAGAACCCAAGTTTTTTCTAACTTGATTCCGATATATTTAGAACGTATATGAATTTAGCAAATGCTGTTTCTAAGCATTGACTCGTAAATATCGAGTTAATTACAGAGAAGATGGCATCAAGAGCCGAACCGCTAACATTTAGAGAATCCCTGAAAGCTGGAGCTTTTTAGTTCCAATTGAAGACTCATGAACCGATGAACTTAACAGGAATGGTAGAATATAGACACTTGTCGATGGTAGGTGATGAGAGTGATACTGGATTCTTGGTAGGCAGGAACTAGTATTCGTGGTTCATTGGATTCTAGGCCAGTGATATGGCATGGCGGCATGCTCATCTTGTAATCTGAAGATTGACGCTATGATCCTTGATGGAATCATGGGTGTCTACTGATGGGAAGTTACAAACTAGGGCAAAATAGATGTCCAGCACTTACTGATTTTATATAGTTCTTTAACTGATATAGTTACCTTTTTAATTCCATTTTATCCTGAAAGGTTTTCACTTGTGCTTTTATTGGCCACTAATTATTATATACACATCGACTTACTGTTAAATAAAATGCAGTCATGGACAGTTTCTTTGCATAACGAGTGCGATGTTTGAAGCCTTAGAGTTTCAGAAGACAGGGTGTTGGTTTTACGGTGTGGGATTGCAATCCCTCAAACCAAACTTCCACTCTTTCCCAGGCTTATAGTCGACTAGTAAACTGGACGAGGTCTAGGAATGTATCAGCCTGGAATCGAACCTAGGACCTGTTGGTCTGCTTGGCTAACATTCTGCCACTGGAGCACTGACACATCTAAATTCCATTTAATGTGGGTTTTTAACAGTGAATGGCCAGCAATCACACACCGATGGGGAGGAGGGAGAGACAAAACCATCTGGTATCAAGGCAGGATTTCAATAAAGCAAGAACAACAGTGTGGTTCGGGCAGAATAAGATGATGGTACCATCACTGCTTATTTCGTTGGCTTCTCATCAGCTCAGCTGCTTGTCTCTTGTTTCTATGATTTTGATTCAACTCAGCACATTGTTACCTAATTTAGTCACTCAGCGTCTTACGCATCTCTCGTCTTTTTACGTAACTCCTTTACCATTGTATGCATATTAATATTCTATTTGTCTACTAATCCTATAATTGCACATCCCTTCCAAGTTCTATACACCGGATGAATTATTCTATAAGTGACAATAATTGTTTTGCCACTTTAATATATGCGTAAAACTTGGGCACTGTGGTAGTTAGTAATTCCATATTAGTTTGTTTATTAGATGTATCACACAGTGAGTTAAACAGTATTATTTACTGGAGGACAAATTTTCAAACCCAATTTATTTATTTTTCATTATCATAACAATTATCATCACACGACTTCGAAACTTGTCCTCTGCTATTTGTCGTAGGGGTAGTAGAATTTTCCAGATATCTGAGACATGTGTTGGATCATTCCTGTTCCATGTATTTGCAGTTGATTCGATAAACAAAACTTCTGTTATCAATCTCTCCCTCCACCCTGTGGCATTAAATTTTAAAACTGTCATCCTATCCCATCCCATCCTACTGCATGGTTGTGTGTAGTTGTATATGGTGCTATAGCTGAACTATTCTCTAGATTTCTTATCTTATTCTCGTCAACTAATCTACATTTTGCTAGGTTTTTATGCTGCGCTAGTCTGACTGACTGCCCCTGTTCTACTACTTTGACCTATGTATTTGACTTGACAATCATTGCAGGCAGGGTCTTAGATAAACTAAATTGTTTTGTTTTATTGGCTCCATAGGACTGATCCTTTAACCGATAAAGCCTCTTTCTAATTGAGTTTGTGGGTCTGAATACCAGCCACTTTTATTCCTGCCTTGTTAAGAATTCTGTATAAGGTTTCCGAGGCTTCTTCTCTGTATGGAATTACTACTGATGATTTGGATTCCCTATTGTTGGTGTTGTCATTATCTTGTGCATGTTTGACATACATGTCGTCATTAATATTAATATTATTATCACTACTATCATTATTTATTTTATTTTTACATTTCCTTACATATTTCCTGACTAATTTATCAGGGTAATTATTAAGTTTCAAAGCTTCTCTTGTATGCCTCACTTCCTGTCTTAGATTTTCCTTGGTACTACTTAGTTTTATGCTCTATTACTTAGACATTTCACCAATCCTATTTTTACTGACATGGGATGGGATGATCGGAAGTCCAAATATCTGTTTGAATGTGTGGGTTTTCTGTAAACACTAGTGTTTAACTTCCCATCTTCTTACCTTTTTTTGTATGCATACGTTTATTTTGTTTAAATTTGAACTCCCTGTGTAAAAACTATATAAGCGTAATTTTCTGAGCACTGTTCCCTAATTGAGGAACATTCTGTCAACTGACTTCGTGAAAAATTTGCAGTTATGTTCAAATCTTTCTGTGCATAAGCCTCATAATTTCTTTAGGCTGTAAGCAAGCAGCTGAGCTGATGAGAAGCCAACGAAATAAACAATGATGGTACCATCATCTTATTCTGCACAAACCTTCACTGTTGTTCTTGCCGGGATTGCTGTTAATCATTTATTCACTGGATAAGAGCACAAGGGGTCATCTTGCATGACATTTGTTAATTCATTATAGAAATTGAAAATTATTCTCACATATCAGACTAAAAAGATGCTTTGCTTACCCATGGTGGGACAGCGATAATATCAGCCGATCTATGATGATAGTTTAAAACAAGTACAGTGAATACAATTGACAGTGAACACATGATCATTGTACATGAAAAATAGATCCCTGTCAAAAACAAATGTAAAGAAAAATTAGATGAAAAATGATCTTAAACACCATATATACATAGATATATATCAAGCGGTTAGGAGGGAGTAAGCAGTGCCTGTCTGGTTCTTATTGGTGGTGCTTGGTTCACAGAGCAAGAGCAATTTGTTCGGATGAATGCCTTGATGAGGAACTTAATAATATTAAACAGCTGCTAAGTTAAAACAATTATACAGAGAAGTTTATTGATAAGAATATGAATCTAAAATCAAAGCAGCCCAAGCTACCAACAATTCCAAAAAAGGCCTTATTCTTACAAATGCAGTTCCTTGGGGACAATATCAGTGAGATACTAACACAACGACTTAGAAATGCGGTAAAAAGAGCATTCCCTGCTGCCGAATTACGCTGTGTCTTCAAAACCACTTCTCTTTTGCGTTCGGGAGTAAAAGATAAACTGCCTAATTTCGCCTCTTCCCTGTGTATCTACCAATTTAACTGCTCCTGTGGAGTGAGCCAATTAGTTGCATAGGCCGTACAATTAGGCGTGTTTATCGTCGAATTTCCGAACATCACCCTGCGTGGTTAAGTAAAGGACAAACAAAATCTATTCGCAGCGCTATTCTGTCTCATCTTGTGGATACAGAACACAAGATTGATGTTAACGAGGTAGCCTTCAGAGTCATTTACCACATACCAACAAATCTTAACTTCGCCTTAAGAGTTCGTTTACTAAATATTGTTGAGGCCGTTGGGATCCACATTAAGAAGCCTAATTTATGTGTCCAAAAGAAACTAGTTCAGATATTGTCCTTACTTTGGCCATCTAGGTTTGAATGATCCTCAACTTCTTGTAGAAATTTCCTTAATTTTATTTGATATTCTATTTGCTATTATATTTTTTATTATTATAATTTAAGCATCTTTAATGAACTGTAATTCCATTGTGATCTTACTTAACAAATCGATATTATTTAAAAACACTAATATTGTTATTGACTACTATTCTAGAATATTCTATGTATATAAACATATACGTATATAATTGTAGAGCCAGAAGAGGAAATTATCGAAAAGGATATTCTTTGCTCAATTATTTTGTGTTTATAGATGTCTGAATGAATATTTTCGCTATCTTGAATTCTATCAGTCAAGTCCACGATGTCATCACCAACCTAGTAGACTCTCCATTGTGGTTCCATATGAAATGATGCTAGATGATTAGAGTTAATCGACATGAAGCTCTGAACTCTGGTTTCGTGTTTATTGACATTCGACAGTAGGGTGTATTTGATGGAGCTTTACGGAAATGGTATCTCCTGTGATATTCAAATGTACATGACCAAGTGATTACACAGTGTTAACGTCTCTTACTTCAGTACTGGATTACTTGGGCTCTAATCTTAGAGTAGAAATCAATTTCCTAGATTTTGAAAAAAACACCTTGGTAAGGCGTGGCATTAAACGCTAAACTTAGGTCAATAGCTAACTGTTGATTGGCTACAACTATCAGTAACACTCTATCTATCCCGAGGTTCAACACAGTAAATGATTGGATGTTACTAACATTTTTGCCTTACTCAAAACACTGTATTCATATAGCGAAATTATTCATTCAGACATCTATAAAACAAAAAACAAAATAATTGAGCAAAGAATATCACTTTCGATAATTTCCTCCTGTTCTGGCTCTACAATTATATACGTATATGTTTATATACATAGAATATTCTAGATTAGTAGACAATAACAATATTAGTGTATTTCAAATAACATCGATTTGTTAGGTAAGATCACAACGGAATTACAGATCATTAAAGATGCTCAAATTATAATAATAATAGTACAACAGCAAATAGAATATCAAATAAAATTATGGAAATTTCTACAAAAAATTGAGGATCATTCCGACTTAGGTGGCTAAGTTAAGGACAATGTCTGAACTAACTTCTTTTGGATACATAAATTAGACTTCTTAATGTAGATCCCAACAGCCAGAGTCAGCAATATGTGGTAGACGAACTCTTGAGGTGAAATTGAGATTTGTTGGTACGCGATAGATGACTCTCAAAGCCTGATTAACATGAATGGTGTGTTCTGTATCCACAAAATGAGATAGAATAGCGCTGCGAATAGATTTTGCTTCTCCTTTACTTAACCACTCAGGGTGGTGTTCGGAAATCTGACGAGAAACACGCCTAATTGTACGGCCTTTGTAACTGGCTACAAAAAGGCTACATGGTGTCAAATTATCTGATCAACACCATTATATGGTGTAAATCAGATGACAGTTATTTCATAAAGAATGATTGGCGCCTAAATCTTATTGGAACAGATACTCAGGTCTTTAGAGCTGCCATGTTACTTAAGACTGGTTTCCTCGTCAATAGATATCGCATGAAAACTCCAGGGAGTATTAAAATGTTGTTTATATATATGAGATTGTACAGCTTGAGAATGATTTTGCTGAAAAGAGCAACACTTCGCTGACAGTGTTCTGTTTTATGTGACTCATTGGGGAATTTTAAGTCTCATTTGTATAAAGTTCATAATCTGAGTAAAATTTAAATCTAACATTGAATCATGAATATCCATGATCATTCACTTTTGAGATCTGATTTCCAATATACTGTTACATTAATGCATCTTATCACATACATGCATGTTATTAAAATGAAATCTATTACCAATCTGTTTGTATACACCTTCAGGAATTTTAATGTTGGTGAACCGATATTACCTGAAAAGCACATTAATATTGTCAATAGAAATAATCCTTAAATTATTGTTGTAGACATATAACAAATCGAACAGGATGAACTGATCTGAACATTTTCGATCGAATTTACAATTTACTTAGTTTCATTTGGAAACTTACTGACTGATGCGAGTGGTACATAACTACTCATGCTAATCTGTTAGAAGTTATAGAATTTCCCCTCTGAATGAGGTACATTACAAATTTTGAATTTGATTGTTACGCCGTATTTTCAGTGTTTCAATATTTAAAGAAAACTATAACTTACCAATTAATGGAATTGCCTCTGATGTCTGTGGTAGTTTATCTGCGACAAGTTGTAAGAACATTGTCAATGATAAAAGTATTGTTACACCTAAAAAAAGTCAAAAATCAGTCCACGCATTTAAATAATTTTGTTATTGCGCCAAAAGCTGACATTCGATTTAAACAAATGAATTGAATTGCTAAATGGTCGATCAATGAATCTACTGTCAAATGAATGATTTCTCCGTTAATGATATTTGAAATAATAATAGCTTTATTCTGAACATCATCTTTATTATATACGGAATAGAATTTTCAGCTGTACAAAATTTCCGAGTAAAACACTAATCTATAGTTGTATCATTTGATAGGATTTAGTCCTACCTGAAACATGCTCTTACTCCCAATGTATTTGTCCTTTCGTAACAGTGCAGAGAATATACTGAAAGTCATTGGGAAATGCACAGCGGTACAGATAATTCTTCCAAGACATAAACAGATGTTTAAAACAAAGTATAGGTGAGTAAATTTGAGACATTTTGATTCCAGGAAAACTATATAGCCCAATAATTTAGGCCGACTGACGTTTCTTAAGTAATATTGCTGAATCTCAACTTTAATCCTGCAGTGGAAACATCTTGGTGTACAATTCGTGGGTAAAGACATAGGCGCTAATTTATGAAGGTGACAACATTTCCTTAGAATCTTCAGACATACCTCAACGAAAACTACTGACAAACAAAAGGCTTAGATTAGATGAAGATTCTTATTGACTGATTGGTTTCAAGTATCTTGATAAATCATAGGTTGAGAGACGGGCTTTCTCAAAATTTCTATAATAAGTTACAAGTGACTGATTTTACCAAAACTGTTTTTGAGTACAATTACTCTTCAGCAGTGTGATTTTGGTGCATTATTCATCTTGGAAACATAATTTCTGAATGTTCCCTTCTTCACATAAAGTCTTCGTATTTTATGATTAAACAAGGTTCAGTGCTCCTCTATTTCATATTGCTTGCTGAAGATTTACGTAAGTCCTCATTGTGTCTGAGATAACACACAATGACCAGTCTCGATAATAGAATTGTATTACAAAATATACTGATAGGACGTATAAGTTGTTAAACTGGGAGTTTTAGATAGGCACTTAGTTAGTTATTCAGTTAGTTAGGTAATTAGTTAGTTAGTTAGGTAGGTAGTCAGTTAGTTGGTTAATTAGTCAGTTAGTCAGTTAGCTAGCTAGCTAGTTAGTTAGTCAGTTAGCTAGTTAGTTAGTTAGTTAGTTAGTTAGTTAGTTAGTTAGTTAGTTAGTTAGTTAGTTAGTTAGTTAGTTAGTTAGTTAGTTAGTTAGTTAGTTAGTTAGTTAGTTAGTTAGTTAGTTAGTTAGTTAGTTAGTTAGTTAGTTAGTTAGTTAGTTAGTTAGTTAGTTAGTTAGTTAGTTAGTTAGTTAGTTAGTTAGTTAGTTAGTTAGTTAGTTAGTTAGTTAGTTAGTTAGTTAGTTAGTTAGTTAGTTCACTCACTTGGGATAGATTTTTCATTAAACATTCTGCCAGTTATTTTTTTATTCCTTTATGTTCTGAGTGTAACATAGGGCTTCAAGCTTGACCTTTGAAGTTTCAGTAACGATGATGTTGTTTTATTCCCTCATTACTTGGCCTGTTACCGGGTACGTAACTAGGAGGGGTGTAGAAGTGCAGCCACTAAGAATCAGACTAGGATCTTGTGCCTGACTGGTGACCTTTCTACCACTGAACCACTACTGTTATCTTTTAATTTAACTTAATTCACATGAATTGCTTAGCTTTGTCCGTGACAGTTATCATGAGATTATATAGCGATTAAATTAGCCCAAGTACTAAGTGTTATCATTCACATTCGCCTAACACTCTAAGATACTTCAATAGGACGTTGTTAGGTTCAATTTCACAGAAGAAAATCACAAACTAACCGGACAAATATTTTATTGAAGTTAGTTTTGATTTTCCCGTTGATGAAGTCGACCGAAATATTCGGTCTGTGTTGGCATGTCAGGTCCTAGTCAAGGGATGCCTCAACAGTGTCTGTGGTTAATAGCAATGTAATTTCGTAGATGGTAGCTAGCAACAGAATCCAGGATTCATGTACTTCTTCCTATTAGGGACTTGCCATATGGATACACCTCCCCAGTGAATAATGACGGTGTTCTCATTGAGACTGAAATCCAGTATCCACCGCTTAAAACTCCAAAGAGTTACTCACAAGACCACTTGAACTTTGGTGGTTGAAACGACAGGTATAGGGTCTAAATCTCAATGGGAATACCAACATCATTCACTGGATGGATTGCAGGTGCTTCCACTTTATATGTTCCAAACAGAACGAAACGTGTGAATCCTGAATCGCGTTACTGTCAGTCCCTATCCACCAAATTACAGAATGAATATTTCGTGAACCAACGATTTCAAGCAAACAAGCAAGCCAACCAACCAACAAACAAAGTCATACTCTAAAATTTACTCAAATTGATAAAAACCCTCACGATATTGAAACTATTCACTTACCTAATGAAATTTTCTCTCCAGCATCTGGTGGTAACATGAACACCATTAATGCCATACCAGAGATGAGTAAACAAGGCACAATTAAATTGAATACATAATAAAGTGCACGTCTTTGCAGACGAATAAATATTTTCACATCAATAAAATCATAATCACAACATTCATAACGTTGGGCATAACGTCGAACTGAAGCACCTTTAAAACAAAATATATAAAAATAATAATAATAATCTGCCTTATTCCAAAATTGTACTTATGACACAGTGAATAAAATGACAGTTGCAGCGAAGAAAATTTTCTTTTCGACGAAGTCTCCATCAACTAGGTTGTACATTCGTGTATTTATAATAAATGGTTAGGAAAGTTCCAGAATAATTTCTAGTCAACGGTCAAATTAATAAAATTACAATTAGAAATTAAAATGCCATAATAAACATTTGGAGGGACGGATAAAACTCAAACAAAGTAGCATCATAATTACTGAGGAGATTGACATGTTGTGTAATTAGGGGTTAAAAATGTAGAAATAACAAATATAGACAGGATGTTTGGATAAAAAAATCTAGTGGGAACATAACTAATGTGACGAATAATTGTTTATGCAATCAGGGATTAAATATGTAGAAATAATAAAAGAAATACTTTCAACCCTTGTCCCTGCCGTGGCCATCATAAGCAGGTAATTCTTTTAATAGTGACCATTCCATTCATTGACTTTCTTATCCAAACTTCCTGTTTATTCATGTTATTTGAAGTTTTTCTTAACTCTTATTTATACTACTATATTTTCATATCCGAACTTCCTGTCTCTTTTGTCATTTTATTATTTCTACATTTCTAACCCCTAATTACACAATATATCAATCTTCTCAGTAATTATGATACTACTTTGTTTGAGTTTTATCTGTCCCCCCGTTTATTATGGCATTTTAATTTCTAATTGTAATTTTATTAATCTGACCCTTGACCAGAAATTATTCTGGAACTTTCCTACCCACTTATAATGACACAGTGTTGAATTTGTTTAGAATTTGGTACAATGCTGCATCTAATTTACTCAATAACAGCAAAAACAGAAATTCAAAAAAATAATAATAATATTAAAGGTTTGATAATACCGGTCGTTTTGGTACTAACAGTGACAATAAAGTCAAAAATATACAAAAATCGTGGAATAATGACAATAATGTCGATAGCTAAAACTATAAGTTAAGCGAAATAGTGTCACCATAGATTACAAATAGGAGAGGACAAAAGAGCCGTTTAATCTCACTAATAGCATAGTAATTAGCAGGTTTCGCGCTTAACATTTTCTCTGTCACATAGGACGTGGGCCAAATATGATATCATTGAGTTTCTATACTTGATCGTTTGAGTATATAATCTTCTATGATGACTTTTAGTCCTACCTACCTGATGAGATTCAAGGCGGGAAGAGTTGAGAATAGAAAGGATGTTGACAGTCAGACAATATGGATCTAAATAATTTACCTTATGAATTCAGGTGTCCATTGACTACAGTAGTTACGAGCTGATTTAGCGGCATACTGCTTGCACTGCCAAGAAACTTAAATACCCTACTCAATGTGAAACATTCTTTTTTAAGTGGCCAAGGAAAGACCATGGAGCAATGATGCAGGTGTTAAATAAATGGTAAAAGTAGTGATTGAATGACTTCTCGATTTCGTCTCTCTGTGTGTGAGTAAATGTGTATTGTGTGTTTGTGTGTCAGCATGTATTGTTGTATTATTGTTCCCTTGGCTTCCTTGTGGAACATAGGGCTTCAACTGCATGTCTCCACTTGCTTATGTCTTCTGCTGTACTTTTCACCTGCATCCATGTTAGTTCATACTGTTTCAACTCCTCTTCACACGATCTCCTCCATGTCACCCTTGGACGTCCCACTACTCGCCACTCCCTTTCGGGTTCCATTCGAATGATGGCCTGACGCGCTATGTCACCCAATGGCCCCCTCAGCGAGTGTCCAATCCATCTCCAATTTCTCCTGCATATTTGTTGGTTGGCGATTGGTTCTTGTTTTGTTTATTCGCATAGTTTCTTGTTGGTGATTCTTTCCGGCGGCCATCTGATCTTCAGTATAGAGCGAAGACAGTTGTTGATAAAGGTCTGCAACAGGCTGTTGGAAATGTTCTTCGTGACCCGCCAAGTTTCTCATCCGTAAAGCAAAATTGACTTAACGTTTGTATTGAAAATCCGAATTTTGTTGTTGATGCTGAGGAGTGACGAAGATTTCCAGATTGGTTTCAGGTTGATGAATGTGTTTCTCGCCTTCCCGATTGTCGATTTGACATCCTCGTTCGTTCCTCCTGTAGTTGAGACAATGCTCCCTAGACAAGTCAATGAAATAACCTCTTTCAAATCCCTCCCGTTGATGGTGATTGGCGCTGGATTTCGCTGTTGTTGTTGTTGGTTGGTTATCTCATAACCTCCGTCTTGTCTATGTTCACCTGGAGTCCTGTCTTTCCTGCTTCTTTGACCAGTTTGTCGGTTTTCGCTTGTAAGTCTTTGATTTTGTGTGACATCAAACATAAATCATCCACGCGCGAAATCCAGGTTTTCTAGATTCTTCACGTCGGTCTAGGATATCCCTGTCTTCTCGTTTCCCACTGCCTGACGCATAATCCAGTCCACCACAATTAGGAATATCATTGGTTTTAATAAGCATCCTTGTTTGACTCCTGTGTTTACTCCAAACACCTCGCTGAATTTTCGGTTGTGGATGACTTGACATGTGCCGTTGTTGTACAGCTGTTGAATAAGGTTGATGAATATTTGGGGTACGCCGTAGTACTCGAGTAGTTTTCAAATTACTTCGCCGTCAACGCTGTCGAAGGCCTTCTCAAAGTCTATGAAGGAAGTTGAGGTAGAGGTTTGATTGCCATTCCATGCTTTGTTCGATGATGATGCTTAGAGTTGCAATTTGATCAGAACATGATTTGCCTTTCCTGAATCCAGCTTGTTCTGGTCGGAGTTCCATATCCAGTGCGTCCTTTATCCTCTCCAGGATGATGCGACTCAGGATTTTACTTGGCGTCGACAGGAGCATGATTCCTCGCCAGTTCTTGCAGAGTCCTACGTCGCCCTTCTTTGGTAGTTTCGTGTCAGCATGTGCCGTTTATTATTATTATCACTCTCTTTGATTCCGAGTAAAACATAGGGCTTCAACAGGACGCCGTTATTTTGTTCTGTTCTCAGCAGTCCTCTTTAGTCTACTCCATGACTGCCCATATGCTTTCGTCTTTTCCTATTGGGCTTTGACTTGACGGTTTCCAAAGTGTATGCCCAATCCATCTCCATTTCCTTCGACATATTTGTTGGGTGATAGCCCCTCAGTCAGTTCGTCACCTGACAGATTTCCTTGTTGCTTATCCTTTCTAATCGACCGTTCAATTTGCAACATTCAGAAAGTGAAGACATCTATTGTAAATGCTTTTTGTGACTCGACGTGTCAAGTCTCTGAGCAATATAGGAGTATTGGCTATCTTAACAATAATGTTGAACACGATTCATATCTTGTTCCTTTTGCTGAGTGCAGAAGTTTTTCAAAGTGATTTCAGAGCAGTGAAAGTCTATCTTGCTTTTACGACTCTGTCTAGCTTCGATATCCTCATCCTTATCGCCTCCCTAGGCAAGTGAAACAGGTGTTTTCCTACAGTTTTCTCTCGGCGTTGATTGTCGATACTTGTTGTCGTTGTTGTTAACTGGGTATCATAATCCCCTCTATCTTCTATATGTTCATTTGAAGACCTGCCTTCACTGCCTCCCTATTTTGCCAAATTGCTAGTTTCTGTCTGTAGACCTTCGAATTTGTGTGACTTACACCAGACGTAAGTCATCTGCTTAATATATTACCAGTTCGCATAGGTATCCAGTTAGGATTTGGTTGCTTTGAGTAGAATCTTCTCTGAGCTGTGTCCCTCTGAGTACAACTCTGAATAACTTGTCCTCAGACAAGATAGACACAGTATTCCAGTGTTTATGTCTTTTCGACATTTCTAACAACTTAATGTTGTAACAGCAGAAGGCAAGATAAGGAAGCCGATGTATATTTTCAAGTGATCAAACCGCTGTTTGTATCTATGCAGTTTATATTCTTTAACCAATCTCTGATCTCATGATTTTGGCTCACATCAAACGATTTGAAATAGAATGTTCGAATATATATATATATATATATATATATATTATTCTGTTGCTAATGCAATACTGAACTGTGGAACTGTGTGAGAATAATATTCCTTTGGAACATATTGTCTGTATCACACCACCACAATGTGACTGGTTTCCAGTTAACTTGTATCAATCGGCAAGATATACCATCACTTTATCTCACATATTATTTTATCAAAATGAAATTAGGAACTTCAACATGAGAATAACAAACGCCTTCAGTGCCTTCAAAAATGCCTAATTCATGCTGAAAATGTTTGACGTGGTGAAGTATTCTTCAGAAACCGTTAACTAAGAAACTAATATAAGTGTGAAAAGACTGTACGTATAATGACACAAAAGTGGATTACCCAAATCCAATTTTCCCTACTCTACCCCACTCTAAACGCACGCACACACACACAAACAGAAAAACAAATCACCTTACCACGAAGATGAAATTCCCCATTATTTGAATATTCAGACAAGTCTACAGTTCCAACTTCTGTACAGTTAGGCTGCGAGGCATTAATACACTGCAACTGGAAGTTTAATTGATCACCATTATATGTCCAACTACCAAATTTCATTTCACATTTCTATAATCAATAAACAAAACAAACAGTTTAAAAAAGTTTACATTTTTCTCAATGCAACTTTATACTACTGAAATCTGAAATAAGTAACAAACTCTAATTGTGGACATTATGCTTTAAGGTCAGGTAGAGAACCATAAGGAAAACCAGAAAGAAGCAGTGGACAGAGCTCTTTCATCCTATTTTGAGACTCTTCAGTAGCAAGCACTCGTCAGGATTCAAACCCATGATCTTACGGTTACAAGTCAAGCTGGTAGACTCACTAGAGACCAGCTCCATACAGGAAGTTACCTTGGCTTTTAGTGAAAAGTCGTAACCAGATGGGTTCACGAAGTCAGGTAAGAGAACTATCAATAATCACCTGTGACACTGGCCGGTATTTGTGCGTATACATCGCGAATTCGCAGAAGAAGGAATCAATGGGCCTCTTGATCAAACCAGTAACCCTAATCAGATCCCTGCAAACCAACGCTTGATGACAGTACGCCTTGGTTATTGTTTTTAAGATAATTCGCATTCCTTGTTGACTGCTTGTGTTGGGTCAAATTACCCAGTCTCTGCTGACATGTTGGCTTCTGGTAAGGACGCTTCAATGATGTTTGAAGATCAGCATGATGTTAATTGCCTGTATAGTTGGTGCTGACTAGCAGTGGAGTCCAGCTAGGAAGCGCATTTAGAACGAAGTTTGAACCTCGGATTCTACTGGTATCCGTTTAACAAGAAGTGGCTTGTTTGAAACGAAGTATAATGTGTTCGACTGTCAGTAAGAACACCGTTATTGACTTAGGATGCAGATACGTCCAACTGGAGAGTTGATGTTATTTTATTATTATTGTTTCCTTTGGTTCCAAGTGGAACGCAGGGCTCCAATACTCTTTTTAGCTCCACACTCTCCTCCGTGTCACCTTCATACACACGCCAAACTGGTTGTTTCTCACTCAGGTTCCACTAAAGCGATGGTCTGGCCTGAGAAGCCATCCGCTGATTTTTTCAATGAACGTCCGATCCGGTGAAACTAAACTATTGCAGCCCGAACCGAAACTACCTAGCGAACGGACAAATGACCTTGAACAACCAATCAGGTGACTCCGTATTATCCAGACGTACTCATAGATGCTGTACACCTTTTGAGTTGCGAATTCGCTCCAGATCTTGTTTTTGATTACTGTTTGGAGAACGGACTGATAGGCAGGTCGAAAAATTGTCAGTGTGGAGGTGTCATGCATATACGAAGATACACTAGGTGCATTGATGGGATTGTTTACAGGTGCAGTGAGTGCCGAACCTGAAAATCAGTTCAAGAAGGTGTATAGTCCTTTTTTAGTTTACAGATTACTTAGGTACTTTTTTCGCCAAGTCTAAATTACCTCTGATGAAAATTTTAATGATGTGTCATAACTGGATGTTTAAAAGACCAGTAACAGCAACAGCGTATGAATCCAAAAACTCAGAAGTGCCTGCATTGCAATGGTACCAGTACTGCGGAGACATAGCATCGTGGAAAATTAACAGGCTGACTCAAGTACTTGGAGGAGTTGGCGTCATTGTTCACGTGGATGAGATAGTGCTGATAAAAAGAAAATATAATTGAGGGAGATTGAGCGTAAATCAGCAGTGGGTGTTGGGGATATATGACACCACCCTCATCAAAGGATACATTGAGGCGATCTCTAATTGCAGTGCAAATGTCTTACTGCGTATTATCCAGCGCTCAGTGCTACCTGGGACGACTATTCATACAGATGAATGGAGTAGTTATGATTAGCTATCAACCCTGGGCTATATTCATCACGTCGTCAGCCATACAAATGATTTCATCAATCATTTCGATGGAACGCACACTAGTTCCATTGGAAGTTTTTGCAGTCACCTCAAAAAACAGATCAGATCTGTGAATGGATCAAGAAATGCAATGATTTACAGTTATCTCGACGAGTTTATGTACAGGACTTGGTTTAACATAAGTATCAAGCCTCCTAAGAGGTTTTTTTGGAACATATACGAGAACGTTATCCTTTGTAACTATTTTTTAACATCACATTACTTTTATGTAAATGATTTATTAAAATTATGTGCCGTTTTATAGAGGCTTCTGATTGGTCAAAGTTGTCGTTGTCAAGGTCATTTGTCCGTTCGCTAGGTAGTTTCGGTTTCGGCTGCTATACTTTAGAGTTACCTCTGATCCTTCTTCACTTTCTCAGGAATAATTTTTTGAGCAATATGTTCTCTATAGGTTCATTCCCAGAACTCCTTGTTGTTAATTCTTTCTGTCCAACTGTGTGATCTTCAGTATGGAGCCAGCTAAAGTGGCAGCTGCTGATAAAAGTCTACAGTAGACTGTTGGGAAATGATTTTCGTGACGCTCTAAGTCTCTGGCCAGTACGGAAGCATTGTCTCCCTTAGCATTGATGTTGATAATCCAAATGTTGTTTTTTTCTTACGCTTAATGTAGAAGATTTCCAAACCGATTTCAGAGCGATGATGGTATCTCTGATGTTTCCGATTCTGATTTGGACATTGTCATCTGTTCCACCTGTAGTTGCATCGATGCTCTCTATTTCAAATTTCTTCCATTATTGGTGGTGCACACTTACTGTTGTTATCGGTTGGTTATTCTCACCACCTCTTTTTTATCTATCTTCACTTGAAGTTCTGTCTTTACTGTCATGCCTCTTCTGCCAGTTTGTCGGTTTTGCCTGTAAGCCATTGAGTTTGTGTGGCATTAGACATAAACAGTCCGCGAAGTTCAGATCTTCCAGAGTCTTCTTATTGGTCAGAAGCATTTCTGTCTTCTCGCTCCGTGCTGCTTGCTGTATGACCCAGGAATATTAAAGGTTATAACAGGCAGCCTATTCTTACTCCTGTATTCACTTTGAAAGCTTCTTTGAGGTTATCGCTGTGAAGCATTATACATATAGCATTATCATATACCTGTGAAATTAGGTTTGTAGATTTTTTTGGCAGTCCATAGTTTCCAAAGTACTTCACTGTTGACGCTATCGAAGGTCTTTTCATGATTGACGAGAATGACGGGGGGGGGGGAATTTAACTATCATTCTATGTTCTCTTCGATGATGTTGCTTAGTATTGCAGCTTGATCCCGAATGATGTAACTTAATACTTTGTTTGGAGTGGACAGAAGCGTGATTCCACACCAATTTTCGCAAAGGATTAAATCGGTGTTCTTCGAATTCGTGGGTACCTTTCCTTACCTTCCAAATCTTCTGTGACAGTGGTGTAAGCACATCTACTGAGGGCTATAGTGCTTCTAGACGGTATCATGTTCAAACCTATATTACCATATTATGAAGTGGGAAACCTCAAAATGAATGTCATTTCTTAAGAACTGAGAGCCACTATCACTGGAGCATTCAAAACATCAACCACTAATGCACTAGTCCAACTATCCTTCAGGTGAACTGCAAGAGATGCATCTACTACTAACCAGCTGACCATTTTTACCTCCAGTCATTGGCAATTACATAAATAAAAGTCTGCCGACAGAAGACTATCCCGGTTCGGTTAAGTCATCGGCTTTTTCACTTATCCTTTATTGATTTACTCTTTTGAAATCCAATCTGAATAATAGTGATCATGGAGTGCGAGTGCACCAATGACCTTGAACGTACATCGTTTGTTCAATTTCAGAACGAATGACATGCGTTCAAGGTCACGGGGCATCCTGACTTCATGGTTTCTATTAGTTATTTTTGCCTTTTTTAAATTTAACGTATATCTAAATGTAGTCAATTCAACTTACCTGTTCATCGAATGGAAACCATAGAATATCTATGTTACACGTTGATTTAAACAAACCAGGAGGTAACCATTGAACAGTTCCATTATGATTTATAACTGTATTTGTTGGGAAAAGACGATCAAATTTCTCGTCAGCACTAAAATATGACGGCAAGAAAAAAACAAGACAAACGAAAGTGACATGAGGCGGAATGAATCCCTTCTTAATGTAGCATTCTTATGTATCATTATGATTCCCTCGGGTTCCTAGTGGAAAATAGGGCTTCAACAACACATCTTCACTTTCCTCTCTTTTTTGCTGTCGTCTTCAGCTGCTTAGCTCAACGATTGCCCGTAATCTTTCATCCTTTCCTCACACGACCTTCTCCATGTCACCTATGCACTGATGACCCACTTGTTGCTTCCCATCAGAATTCCACTCAATCAATGGCCTTCATTGAACACGATGTCACTCAACGGTCTCCTCCCCATCTCCATTGTCTTCCGGAAATATGTTGATCATTAGGTTCTTGACTGGTTAATCCCCATACTTTCTTATCACCATATAAGACAACTCATTCACTATTCAGACCCAACAAGACCGACTAGGAAAATGGTGTACGTTCATTGTTGTCAACCAGTATTTCTGTAAATTACTTTAATGATTATAACAGTCAAGTTTGATTCTTACAGAGATAAGCTGAAATGAGCCTCAAACTCCACAATGATAGATTTTTATCAGTAACAAAAATGGGGAAAAAAATCAACTCATAATTTGTCTTACCAATTATATAAGAGTATATCTGGTCTCCAAACAGCAGTATATGGTAAAATTAAGGTGGTTATATTGCCAAAATTTTTAGGATTCCAGAGAAAATGATAATCATTCCATGTCTGTTGAAAAAAAATAGTTTGGAAGAGTAACAATAATAATAATGGTATTAAATCAATACTAAGATGAACAGCTTTCTATTAGGAGTCAGCAAATGGTCTTCGTCTGAATCATTCTAAATGTCAGACTGTTAATTTCAGTTTCCGATGTAAAAGAAAGTTAAATGATGAAGCTGTTGGTTCCTATGACCCTTGCAAAATTGATGATAGCGAGGATATAGAAACCAAGTCTGAAGTTAAGTATCCTGGACTAATTCTTTCTAGTGACCTATCCTGGTCTTCCCAGACGTCTTAGCGATTTCTAGAAGAATATTTCGTCTGACTTTTAACATTAAGAAGTTAAGGCGCTCAGGCATAACCCAACCCCTCCTCTTACAGTTTGTCAACTCGTGTATTTTACCTATTCTTCTTTACTGTTCACCCTTATTCTTTCCCCTGGATTGCTTAAAAAAGACTATGTCATACTTCGAAGAACTCTGAAGACTGTCAGTAAGGAGAGTGGTATCCACTTGGGCCATATCGTTGAGGTCGTCGTTGATAGGCACTTGCTGTTATGCAACAAATTTGCTAAAGGAATTCTGTCAGACTGTAAGCATCCACTTCACCAGCAGCTCCAACCTTGTGTCTCCTCAGGTAAAACTATAAGTCTTTTCAGAAGACTTTATGCACGTACGTCTAGGTACAAAAATTCCACTATACCATATTTTGCACGTACTTTTTGTGATAAAAATCGTGTTAGGCATGAACTAACTAACCTTCTTTGCACTACTAAATAAACCATTTCCCCCACTCTTACAACATCAAGCTTTATTGTTATTTTACTTCTGATATTTATAATCCTCTCAATTTTTTGTTTTTGTTTGTTTATTTTCTCATAAGTGTGAACATCATTTAAGCTGTGTTATAACTGTTAATTTTGTATTTCCCTCACCATACTATATCAACAGAGCATTAGATTCAATAATCTATAACGTTCAAAAATTTCCAAACTCAATCGACAATACTGTTTGAAACAAATCTACTATTATTATTATTATTAATTATTATTATTACATTTAATATTTTCAATTCGTGCTTCGCATACTTTGACTTTATATCGTAAATGTGGACAAATTCCTCTGGTTAATTTTATTTACATTTTTAATTTTGTTTATATTTTCAGTAAATCAGATGCAATATTGTGACAAATGCTGAGAATTCCATTCTGTATTATCAGTACTGTTTTTGGAATAAAGTAGATTATATACATATATATATGTACATGAATTAAACAATCATTGCAGGTACAGCCGATCCAAACATTCAATCAAACATAATGCGAAATTGTAGCTGGAGTCAGGCATCTATCATGACAGGGTGAAGCAGACATTCATAGATGATGTTAGATGGCAGTAGAGCTATACCGCGAGGACTGATAAAAGTTAAATTTCTCAGGTAGTTGGCTGATGAATAGTCAATATTTAGGCCTTCTAGTCTGAAGATAGTGGGTCTAATCCTCGGTGGGATCAAGTTTATTCAGTGCCGAAGAGTTTCAGACTGAAAAAGGCTGATGTTAGTTGTCTGCTAACGTCTATTTGACCAACTTTTCCCAGTGATGCTGTACCCGTTGCATGGAAAGACATAAAAATTATCCTGGCACGTAAATCATCTACTGGTATCAATGTTAGATTTAGAAATTGTCGAATTACTTTTCCTTTTTGAAATTGACGGAGAAATTGCATTTACTCAACCTTAAAAAGTTTTGATGACTTAAAACAGTTTGGATATTAACAGGGCAGAAGTACTTTTGATGTTATTTCACGCTTTTGACCCTGAAGTCAGATGTTTTTTGTTAAATAATCTTTCCATCATAAAAGCTGAGTCCTGGGCGGTTAACTGGTTGCATTATTATTTCTCTAACAGAATGCAGTATACTGTATACAAAGGTAAATCTTCCCCTGCCTTCCTGACTGAAGCTGGAGTCCCTCAGGGTGCTGATCTCTATCCTTTTCTTTTTTCTTTCTTCTTACATGACTTACCTGTTTCTGAAGTAATCAACCTTACTAAATACGTTGGTGATCTGACAGTCTCGTTGTCAGTTTCACATTTAACGGCTTCTTGTCGGATATCATCAAATGGTCTTATTCAAGTATTGGTTTGTAGGGATTTGAATGATTGGTTACAGCATCTCCTCATGAGCTGACATCTGGTAGAGTACCACTGGAAAACCAGGTGGGAGTAGTGGACAGCTAGCTTTTTCGTCCTAGTTTGCGACTCTTCATTAGTACGCACTCACTGGGGTTCGAACACAGAACCTTCTGCTTACAAGGCGAGCTCGTAGTCCACTAAATCACTGGGACTCGATCCAATGGTCGGTCCATGAATTCCAACTTCTGTCGAAGACATTGGCTAGTGGTCGCACTATGTCGTGAATCAACAGGAGTGGAATTCATAGAAGGGCCATAAGATCGGGTCTCAGTAGCATAATGGTCTATGAGCTCGCCTTGTAATCAGAAAGTCCTGGGCTTAAACCCCTATGGTGTGTATGTGCTGATGCAAAGTCGCAAACTAGGACGAAAAGCTGGATGTCCAGTACTTCCAGCTAGTTTTCCAATGGCTCTCTAGCCTATATCAGCTCATGATGAAATCATGTAACCAATAAATGGTCTTATTTTAGATCCCTCCAGATGTCCGATAGTTTACTTCACCTTCAGGAGTAAACGTCATCTAAGCCAACTTGTTCGTTCACAAGATGCTTGTAGCGTAGAGGGCACTAGAGTAGAAACTAAGTCAAGCAAAACAATACCCTGGAATAATTCTATCCTCTGATCTGTTTTGGTCATTCCATATCTTGTCGATCTCTTAGGAAATATTTCATCCAACCTTCTACATTGAGAAGTTAAGACAATCTGGGATCACTCAACCTCTACTTTTACAATGTACTAACTCTTGCATCATTGTCCCGTAGTCTTTCTTTGTATACTCAAAAAGGACTATGTCATATTGAGTAGGGTATTGAAGGTTCTCGGTAGTGCAGGCAGTATGCCGCTAAGTCAGCTCATAACTACTGTAGTCAGTAGATACCTTAACTCATGAGGTATATTATTTAAATCAATATTATGTGTCTGTCAACATCCTTTCTTTTCTCACCTCTCCTCGCCTTCCATCTTATAAAATAGGACTAGAAGTTATCATGGAAGATTATATGCTCGCAAAACTTATTACTAAAACCCAAGGATGCCCTATTTGACTCGCACTGTATGTGATACAGAAAGCTTTAACCATGAAACTTATGACTTATTATATATATATATATATATATATATATATATATATATATAACTTAATCGTCGTCCCTCAGCATGGAGTCACTTTTGCATTTTCAAGTTGGCCAATTGGTAAAGATAACAAAGCCATGTGTGCTGATTGTTGGATTTGATAAGTGTATAAAATTATAAAAGCAGCGTGTATTTACATAATGAAAATGCTTATCACATTCCTGTTGATTTCGTCATTTCATGGGGGAGGTGTTTGTGTATGTGTTGTAACCAGGTCAAATTCTGTTTTAGTCCATCATTCCTATTCAGAAAATTTAGATTCCATTTGATATGTGAAGTGCTTCTGATGATGTGAGACGTTCTTTGTGATTTCTGAAATTTTTCTGGATGGTGATTTCAATATTGTCAAAATCAGCTTTGTGGCCTGATTCTACCATAGCGTGTAGACGAGCTATGGCTGATGATTTTTCAAGTTTTTCTAGTTCACTAACTGGATTTCTCGGTGGTCGAACTTGACAACACATAAATGACCCCATGTGTGGAACAATGATTAATTTGTCATATATAATTTGAGATTTTGTAATAATTTATGTGTAAAACTTGGGCAGTGTGGTAGTCAGTAATTCCGTATTAGTTTGTTCATTAGATATATCACACAGTGAAACAGTATTATTATTTACTGGATCACACAGTTTCGAACAAAATTTATTACTGTTCATAATCATTTCATCAATTATAATCACACGACTTCGAAACTTCAGTTTTATAGTTTTCTTTGTTCTCTCCTATTTGTCTTCGTACGGGTAGTAGAATTTTCCAGATATCTGGGTGGACAGGTGTTGAGTCATTCCTATTACACGTACTCTTTTTAGTTGATTCGATAAACAAAGCTTCCGTTTAAGGTTTTCATGCTCGGATAGTCTGACTGCAGCTGTTCTACTACTTTGATCTATGTATTCGACCTGACAATCATTGCAGGCAGGGTATTAAATAACTAAATTGTTTTGTTTTGAAAGCTCCACAGGATGGCGAAATCTAGCAAAATCTGGATTAGATGACCCGAATAAGATAAGAAATCTAGAGAACAGTTGAGCTACATGACTCACCACATGCAATTACACACAACCATACAATAGGATAGGATGGGATAAGATGACAGTTTTAAAATCTAATGTAACAGGGTGGAGGGAGAGATTGATAACAGGAGCTTTGTTCATTGAATCAACTACAAATACGTGTAATAGGAATGATTCAACACCTGTCCACCCAGATATCTGTAAAATTCTACTACCCCTACGATGACAAATAGGAGAGAACCAAGAAAACAATAATACGAAAGTTTCGAAGTCGTGTGATTATAATTGATATGATTATGAGCAAAAATAAATTTTATTCGAAATGTCATCCAGTAAATAATAATACTGTTTAACTGATTGTGTGATACATCCAATAAACAAACTAATATGAGATTTTGTAAATTCTGGTTTAGTAGTACTTCTTTGATAAAGCTATTAGCAGAAGCATTAAATAGAGAAACGTCAGTATAAACAACAATTTCGTTTTGCTGTTTTTCATTCATTGGGAAATACATAAAAGGAATTTTGCATGAAATCCAGTCGAGAAACATTATAGGTGTGACAACAGAGAGAGGAAGTGTGTGTGAGTGAGTGGTGGAGAATCATGGCTGACGGTTATAAAACAATCTTGCTAAGCCATGTAAACATAAAGCACACAGATTATGAGTGA